TTCCAAAAAATTCAAGAAGAACAAAGACTTTTAAACACTTTTTATAAGGCCAGCATAATTTTAATTCTTAAACCAGGTAAAGACACTGCAAAAAAAAAAAAAAAAAATAAAGTATAGGCCAATTTTCCTGATGAACATAGATGCCAAAATCCTTAACAAAATGTTAGTAAATCAGATCCAGCAATACATAAAGAAATTATTCACCCTGACCAAGTGGGATTCATCCCAGAAATGCAAGGATGGTACAATATTTGCATAGCAATATATGTGATACGTCACATAAACAAAATGACAGATAAAAACCAGACAATCTGCTCAATAGATGCTAAAAAATCAGTCAACAAATTCCACACATTTCTGATAAAAATGGTCAGCAATGTGGGAATAGAGGGATCATATCTCGACATAATAAAGGCCATATATAAAAGACCAACAGCCAACATCATATTCAGTGGGCAGAAACTAAAACATTTCCCTGAAGAACAAAAACAAGACAGGGATGCCCACTTTTGCCACTCTTGTTTAACAAGTGGAAGTCTTAGCCACAGGAATTAGATTTGAAGAAAGAATGAAAGGGATCCAAATTGGAAAGGAGGAAATGAAACTGTCATTATTTGCAGATGAAATGATATTGTACATAAAATACCCTAAAGACTCCATCAAAAATTTACTAGATTTTATAAATGAATTTGGCAGGTTGCAGGGTACAAAATTAACATCAATAATTGACAGCATTCTTATATACCAATAATAAACTCACAGAAAAAGAAACTAAAAAAAAATAAATTTCATTTAACAGTGCCACAAAAAATTAAAATATCTAGAAATAAACTTAACTAAAAGAGGAAAGGACCTGTCTGCAGAAAACTACAGGGCATTGTAACAAGAAACAGAGGAAGATACTTTTAAAAAGTGGATGCATATAACTTGTTCACCAATTGAAAGTGTCCATACTACCCAAAGCAAACTATAGATTCAATGCAATACCCATTAAAATACCAATGACATATTTCAAAGAACTAGACCAAATACTCCCAACATTTATATGAAACAAAAAAAAGACGCTGAATAGCCACAGCAATCTTGAAAAAGAAGAACCAAGTAGGAGGGATCACAATACCAGATATCAGTTTATACTACAAAGGCACTTTATTTTTTACTTATTTTTTTTATCCTCACCTGAGGACATTTTTTGACGTTTTGTTCAGATAGAGTGGGAGAGAGAGAGAGAGAGAAACATCGACGTGAAAGGGACACATCGAGTAGTTGCCACCTGCACAACCCAACCAGGGCCGGGGACAAACTGCAACAGAAGCACATGCCCTTAACGGGAACCGAACCCGGGTCTTTGGGGTCGCAGGCCGACGCTCTAACCGCTGAGCCAAACCGGCCAGGGCCTACAAAGGCATTTTAATCAAAATACCCTGTACTGGCACAAGAACAGGGATATTGGCCAGTGAGTTTTGGCAGAGCGAGGAAGTATGGAAGGAGAAGGGTGCAATTTCAAGAACACATGCCAGCTTGGGGAAGTTTCAGTGGGTCTGTGTCTGCAACTGGTTGGGTGGGACAACTTTTTCCTGAGGATCACATGGGAAAGTCCCATATATGTTATTTAGAAATTTACCAGGAGCCGATGTGGAAGTACACACGCGTCTGGAAGATCAGAGTATGGCTTGTATTCTTTGCCACAGCAGGAAATCTGGAACAGGAGGGGAAGGTCCAGCCAACAGGAAACACTCCTCAAAGAGAAATGAATCACCCAAGGTGGAAGAGGTAGGATCAGGGACCATGTGGGGCTCTGAGGCAAGCCTGACATATCCTTGCCCCTCACCAAAGATTTCTTACACGTGTATCTTGTGCTTTGTATGGGCCATGCCTTATTTAACACATTATATTCATAACACCTTATGAATATTCACCTATTCAAGCCCCATGACTGCCCAGTGGTAGATATACAGTGGTGGTCCCCACTTTATAGATGAGGGAATTGATCACAGAGAGGTTAAGTAACTTCCTCAAGTCACAGAGCTATAAATGACAACTAGAATGCAAAGTCCTTGCTGTTGACACAGTGCTTTTGGGTTGTCCTAATACTGTGATATTTATTCACATCAAAGAACATCAACAGAAAGACTAATCTTATACTACTACTACTACTAATAATGGCCATGTGTGGCCTTCTCTATGTCCCATAAAAATTAGCAAAGTGACTCTGGCCAGTGTAAGTCAGTGGTTAGAGCATCAGCCTACATACCGAAGGGCTGTAAGTTTGATTCTCAGTCAAGGGCACATGCCTGGGTTGCAGGTTTAATACCCATCTCTGGTCAGGGCTGATTCAGGGCGTAACCAATTGATGTGTCTTTCTCACACTGATGTTCTCTCTCTCTCACTCCTCTTCCTTCTCTCCCTTCATTCTATCTAAAAATCAATGGGAAAAGGATTCTTGGGGAGGATTACAACAACATCAACAAAAATAAAATGAATCTCGAAAGACAGCAGCATCAGGGAAAATACAAATTCTTGGCTCCTTGTCTCCTTGATCTCAGCGTGATTAAAGACCTTTAAAAGCTGACACTTTCTCATCAACAACAAAATACATGTGTTGTCAAGAATGTGGAGAAACTGGAATCACTGTCATTGCTGGTGGGAGTATAAAACAGTGCAGCCCCTGTGGAACTGGTATGGTGATTCCTCAGAAAACTTACACATAGAATTAGTATATGGTGCAACAACCCTGCTTGTGGATATGTACTCAAAATTAGGCAAAGCAGAAACACAAGGAGGTATTTGCACACCCATGTTCACAGCAGCATTATTCCCAGGAGCCGAGAGGTGGAAACCACCTAAACATGCATATGGATGACTGCACAGACAAAATGTGGTCCATGCACACAACGGGGTGTTATTTAGCTTGAAGAGAAAATTCTGATACCTGCTACAACATGGATGAACCTTAAAGAAATTCTGCCGAGTGACCAAAGGCAAACACAGAACCTGAAATACTGTGGAATTCAAATTACAGGAGGTCCCTTGAGCAGTTCCATTCACAGACACAGAAAGCAGAACACAAGTTTTCAGGGCTGGGAGGAGACTGGAGGTTAAGAGTTCAGTGGGGACAGGGTTTCAACTTGGGTAGGTGAGAAAGTTCTGCAGATGATGGTGGTGTGTAGCACAACATGCCTAATGTCCAAAAATGCTCCTAAATGGTACTCTTAAATATGTTAAAAGTGTACATTTAAGTTTGTATATCATAACACAATTTAAATAGCACCACAATAAAATAATGGTTTCTGAAGAGCAAAGATGGTTTGGATTGATTCAAGGAGCCAGAGCCAGTGGTTTGGCGACACCATCACTGCCCTTTCCAGCACCCATGTTTGTGTTTGCTTTCACACTTACGCTCAGTCCTGTCACTGCCCAGAAAAGAATGAGGCGATGCTGGAGATGGCATTACCTGCTGACAATCATAACTGGCAGTCAGGTGATATTCAAGGGTCTGCGTTAACAAAGCTAAGAGCCAGGAGGCTTGGAGACTGGCCCCAAAACGTGATCTTGCGAGTTTCAGTCAAAAGGAAGGGGGCCTGGCTTACCTGTCTTATAGACCACCTGATGACAGTTAACCTGTTCACAGAGCAGATGAACGGGTTAAACTAAAGTGACCCCCTAAAATCTCAAGGCTGTTCTCACCCGGGCAAACAATAAAAAAGAAAACGAAAAACACACCACAGTGGTTCTCCAACAAATACAAATAGGTAGGAGAACTTCTCAGACATCCAAATGGTAGTAACTGACAACTGTAAAGGAAATAAAGGAATCAAAGCATTTTATGTTTCGTGACCACCTGGCTGTTGACCAGAGACTGCTTAAAGGTCGGAGCCATTGCACACATCTTTAAGCTCTGTGAAATCTTGCTAGAATCGAAATGTCTTTTTTGAGGTCTGAAACCAAATAGTCATTGTAATTCAGGATTGTCTGTAGTAGAAAAACAGTGGAAGGGCCACAGTGAGGGTGAGAAAGGTATCATGCTAGGAGCCAGGGTCAAGACCATCAAGAATGTGCCTTCCTGAAGTGTCCTTGGACGAGCAGCCTCAGGTCCATCCTGACCCTGCCCCCATGTACAGCTTTGTTCTGCTTCACTTGCAAAGGTCAATCCCACACTCCTTGCCCTCTCTCCAACTGCAGATATGGCTGCCACCCCTCTACGATTCTCGGGGTAAATCTGCAGTTTGCCTGCAACACTCCCTTCCAGAAACACACACACCTGATACAGACACCAGGGAGCCAAGTGTTTGGAAAAGAGGAAAAAGAGCAGATGAAAAATGGCAAAGCGGCAGAACGTGGGTGATACTTCTGGTTTTATTTTTATTCTTTGCTTCTTTTGATTTTTATTTCACTTGCAGTATAATTTACAAAGAGTTAAACATAGTAACTTTAAGTGTGCAGCTCAAAGGGTGTTTGCAGAGACTCAATGTAATCTCAATGCAGATCAGAGGCAGAATATTTTCGTGTCCCCAAATTTGTTCGGACCTCCAGTGGGGCAATGGCCACAGTGACGGACCCCTCTGCCCTCACCCCGACCATGGGCTTTTGGTTTTCTTTGTTCAGCATGATGGTTTGGGAGTCACGTGTATTCTTGACCATATCATCTTCTGGTTCATGTTCATTGATGTGTAGCATTCCAGGCATGGACATGCCCAATCGGTGTGTCCATTCTTTCAGTAATAACCATTTTGGGTGTCGCCAGATTGCAGGCTACTATGGGCAGGGACTGGTTGATGTTTACAAAGACGCACATGTTTCTCTGTACTTGGATGTTGCCACTCGCAGGGAAATAGAAAATGTGTGCTCTGGACACTTCGGTTTCTAACACAAGTGCAGCTAGTCTGGCATCTAGGTGGACTTTGGACATTTCTCACAGAACTGTACAATTATTGTGCCTCCCTGATTTACTCTGTTGGGGGAGCCTCCCTCTTAGAAGAGGACTCAGGAAAGGCAGACAGATGGAGTCCTCCATCCGTTCTGACCTGTCTCCTGGGAGAAGAGCAGATGTTCTTGGGGAAACATGTAGAAGACACAGTGATGGAGTTTACGCCTCCAATCAGATACCTGGGTCATGTGAACGAGTGTTAGAGCAGAAACTTAGCTCTCCAGCGAACAACGCTGCTACTTGCTTTGACTATTATGACAGAGGGGTGCGTCATAGGGCCCGTGGTTTGTCCCAGTGTTGTAACCCAGGAGATCGACCACACTCAGACTCCATTTTTCAGTTTTGGGGTATGTTTTATTACCTGCGCAGGGACTGCAGCCAACCTACACAGAGGAGAACTGCAGCCCCGAGCTCAGGGGGAGGGTTGCTTGTATAGGGCAGGGGTCATTCAAGAGTTTAGCAGAGCAAGCAAGCTGCTTGTACAGAAGCCGAGGCAGTTAGCGATAAGCAGGAGGGAACGAAGGGGGGAGGGAGCTGAGGTGAAAGGGAACTGGGTGAACTGGGTCAGCATACATTTGTCCTGCTATTCATTTTATTATCTAAGTTTTAAAAACTAACAAATTTGAGACAGATATCAGCGGTCAGTCAGGTGCAATACACACATGTTGAACAGTTACAGTTTTATGGGGTAAAGGGAGCTTCAGTTTCTCCCTATCAGTTTCTTTACAGAGCATGCAGGACACTCTGGCCTTGGGGCCGTTTGTGTCCTCCCTTTTCTTGAAGGATGTTGCTTTTCAAATTCCCAGTGAAGGTCAAACTCTAGTTAATTTTTATGGGGCTAAAGCCCTCTATAACATTCCCCATTGTTCATCTTGCTGTCTCTGAGGTTGTTAATTAGGGCAGCTTAAAGACAAGTTGGATTCTAAGGACAGTGAGCTACAACACCAGCACCGCCTTTGACCTGGCACAAGCCTCTAGAACCTCTGTATTTCAATCAGCATTGGAAGGAGGGGGCCACCTGACCCCGTCCTCTGTCTGCCAAGGGTGCCATGGGCTTCCAGGTGCTCAAGCCACCACGCACATTCCCCAGGGCAGCCCAGTGGGTGCCAGGAACGAAAAGGTCTATCAACAGATAAAAAATATTTAACAATCACTTAAGTATATGAGAGCGCCGTTCTATTATAAACCAAGTATCTGGAAACCATTCTTGCTCTTTATTTGATGTGCTTATGTTGCCACCTAGTGGAAATGTGGAAGAATGCTCCATAAATGTAGAATGAAACCCAGAAGTGGTCTTTACATTCTAATATACTAAATCTAATGAATCATTTAAAATTAATACATGCTCTTTGTAGAAAATTTTGATTACCCAGGAAAGTACAACAAAAGAAAAAGTCACCCATCATCTCACTTTGTGATTGGTTTAGGATTCTGAGCTCCTGCCCAGGGGAGAGAGAAAGATCAAGGTGCAGATTTTTCTCTCTGTAAGCAGACACCTTTTCAGCTCCTTAAGTGTTAACCTTTGACTTGTTTTTGATACTTGATTCTTCCTTTGCTCAGCTATCATCAAGTCTCCTTTCTAAAAAAAATAGACACTAGTAATTTGACCTGTCATATGCTGTGTTTGCTTTAAGTTGTTTCTCTTGTTCTGGTTTCAGTTTTGTCGTGTGCTATGATTTAAAAAGTTGCAATGAACATCTTATATATAGTATGTGAATACACATATCTTGGTAAAATGACATAAATCTTTCTATAATGCAAATTCCAAACAGAATTGTTATGAATAATATATGCCCTGGTCAGGGTACATTCTAGAATATACTAGTGAATTCAGAAATAAGTGGAACAACAGATTGATTTCTGACCCTCTGTCTTCCTGCCATTCTTTCCCTTTGACGCTCTCCAAAAACAATCAATAAAAATTTTTTTAGTTGTGTTTCTATTTACTTTTTAGGGAGAGAGAGATCAAAACATCGCTGTGAAAGAGAAATATAGACCGGCTGCCTCCTGCACGCCCTCTAGTGGTGACTGATCCTACAAACTGGGCATGGGCCCTGACTGGAATCCAACCGAGACCTCTCAGTAAATGAGGTGAGGCTCAGTCCACTGAGCCTCACCGGATGGGCAATATATTAAAAAAAAAAAGAAAGAAAGAAAGAAAAAAAAAATCACTGCACTCTATGACAGCCATTTTCAGATTTTTACCATATAGAGTGAAGCCATTTTCATTATTTATTTCATGTGTTTATGCTGCCACTTAGTGGACAAGTAGAAGAATATTTTATAAATATACATAATTCCCGATATGCCATGTATGGGATTCGAAACGTGGCAAGGATAAATACAGGAATCAACGAATTTATGGATGAATAAGTGAAACAACAAATTGATCTCTCTCTCTCTCTCTCTGTTTTTCTTTCACTCTCTCCAAAATCAATCAATAAATGAAAATAATTTTTAATCACTGATCTATATCAGAGCCACATTCATTTCCAGACCAAATACCAAGAAACCATTTTTGCTATTTATTTGATGTGCTGTCAATTGGTGGAAAGATAGAAGAATGCTCTGTGAACATAGAATAAGTGATAAAAGCTATGTGTTCATTACACATTAAATGTTACTACATAAAAATTACTATTTAAAAATAATACATGGGCAATTTAGAAAATTTACAGTACCCAACAGAGTAGAAAGAAAAGAAAAAAAAAAAAACAACTTACCTATAATGTCACTTGGATACTGAGTTCCTAGGCAGGGGAGATAGAAAGTTCAAGGTGCAAGCATTCTCTCAGTATAAAGTCAACTTTTCTGCTCTTTGGGTGCTAACCTTAAACTTAGTTTTGATACTTGATGTTTGCTTTGCTCACCTATGATCAAGCCTCTATTAAAAATTAACATTTAGCGCAGCCAGAGTGCCTCAGTGGTTGAGCATGGATCCCTTGCAACAAGAGGTCACAAGTTGGAATCCTGGTCAGGGCACATGCCCGGGTTGTGGGATGGATCCCCACTAGGGTGCGAGCAAGAGGCAGCTAATAGATGTATCTTCCTCTCCCTCTCTCACCAAAACATCTATACAAACGTTTAAAAATTTATTAAAATTTTACCCTGTTCAGGTACTTTAGTTGCTTTAAGTTTGGTTAGTTGTTTCAGAATTTTTGTTTGTTTGATTTTAGTATTTTTAAATATTTTATATTTATTGTTTCAAGTATGACAGACGCCCCTCCTTTATCCTTTCCGGATACCTTCCTTCCCACTCCCCCTATCCACCCTCACCTTCACTGCACTGTTGTCTGGTTGTCTGTGTCCATTGGTTATGCATTGGTTATACAAGTACTTTGGCGTATACCGTGCTTTATGTTTCATTATGATAAAAAATGTTTCAACTGACATCTTATGGTATAGGAATACACACACACACACACACACACACAGAAATACATATATATATCTCTTAGTAAAATATGTAACTAATTCAGCATTGTGAATGACAAACAGGGTCTTGCTGAATGGATACATGCATTTATAAACTTAATAGATATTGCACTCGCAGGTAGCTGAGTTGGGTAGAGTCTCACCCCAATACGCCAAGGTTTCGGGTTCCATCCCTCATCACGACCTTACAAAATTCAACTAATGAATACATAGATAAGTGGAACAGCAGATCAATGTTTATTCTTGTGTGTCTCTGTCTGTCATTCTCCCTTCCAACATCTTCAAATACAATCCATAAATAAAAAATTAACACTATCATTGAACTATATAACAACCACATTCAATTTCCAACCAAAAACCAAGAAACCATTTTGGCTATTTCCTTGATGTGCGTATGCTGCCACCCAGTGGAATCATAGAAGAATGCATCATGACTGCAAAATAATTCATAGAGTCCAAATGTGTTTTTACATATTGATAAAGATACTAAAAATAATTCATTGCTAAAAATTAAAATATGTCCATTCTAGAAAATTGATAGTATTCATAAAGTAAAATGCAGGGAAAATATCTGCCATTATCTCACTTTGCCAATTCCTTCTGGATTCTGAATTTCTTCACAGGGAAGATAGAAAGCTCAAGGTGCAGTTGTTCTTTCCACATACACTTCGGTTATTTGCTTTCCAGTGCTAACCTTGAACTTACTTTTGATACTTGATTCTTACTCTATGCTCAAGCCTCTTTAAAAAAATTCTGTAATTGGATCCCATCAAGATACTTGGGTTGATTCAAGTTTCTAGTTTCAGGTTTTTGTTTTATTTTTGTTTTTGATAAAATGTTACAATAATCATCTTATATATTGTATAATGTAATTGCATACTTATTTCTAGAGTGTAAAATGCAAACGGGGTCATGTTCAACGGCTTCATGTCTTATAAATGTAATTGATGTTTCCCTGGCCAGGGAGCTGAGTTAGAGTGTCATCCCACCATGCCAAGTATGCGTGCTCTATATCCAGACAGGGTAAAACGCAATACTCAACCAATTAATACATGCATAACAGGCACAACAAATAGATATTTCTTTGTCTCTCTCTTTGTCTCTATATATCTCTCTTTCTCTGTCTCTCTCTCAAAAATCAATCAATATTTTATTTAAAAATCAGTGAACTTGATAACAGCCACGTTCAATTTCAGACCAAATACAGTAAAACCATTTTTGATGTGTGTATGCTGCCACCTTGTGCATATAAAAAGAATGCCTTATGTTTGCACAATACTTTATGACATTCAGATGTGTTCTTTATATCTTGATAAAGACACAACATATAATACGTTATTAAAATTTATATATGCTCATTTTAAAAAACTTCAAGTTCACAGACAGAAAGAAAACACTGGCCAGTATAATTACTATGCCATTGGTTAAGGATTCTGAGTACCTGAGAAGGGGAGAGAGACAAAAGGCCCAGTGGTTCTCTCAGGACAAAGTCAATTTGCAGCTCTCTGGGTGCTAACCTTGAACTTAGTTGTACTAGTTGATTCTTCTTTTGCTTGCCATTTATCAAGCCACTTTTTTCAAAATTAAAAGTTAACCCTGTTCAGATACTTTGGTTGCTTTACTTTCTGTCTCCTGGTTCAAGTTTTTTATTTTATTTTTCTTTTTTAGTCACCATATAAAATATGGCAATGAACAATTGGTTAAAACATCATCTTTTATTCCCAAGGTTTCATGATCAATCCCAGGTCAGAGAACATATAAGAAAGAACAATTGAAAGCATAAACAAGTGAGGAAAAAAATGTGGTTTACTTTCTCTGTTTGTCATTGTC